GTTGGCTACTTAAACACTTTATTGTTAAAATATTATTTAAAGTGTGACATTTAAGCAAACATTTTAGAGCTTAAATTATTGAACTATTAATTAACATATAACTGTCACATTTATGCAAACACTTGATCACTTTTAGGCTCACTTAATAATATTGCGGATATTGTTTTTCTAACTTGAAGTAGTTTATGGTTGTAGCATAACAGTGCGTATATATTGAAGGACATCTGGATGGACCAGAATGCCCATGTGATCAACACCCTGTAGAGCCAGCGTTGATATATGAGCGGAGCTGTAGCCCTCCCAACTCTGGCAGGCTCGAAGCGAACGTTGATTAACGGTACCATCGCCATAGCCCATTTTAAGCTTCGGCGTTTCACCGTTTATAGTATTCTTTTTATATATCAAACTAAGAAAAAGGAATATGAGATTAAGTTTAAATTAACGTTCGATTATAAGATATGAAAATTACCTCTCCACTGTGCTGACTCCATCGCCATATAAACAATGCAACTCCACATCTGGAGGACTAAAGTTTTGTGTATAGCGCATCGTATCCTTGCGCATTTCCCAGCCCGTCATGTAGTCAATATCTTGGAAAAACTCCTTCATCTGAGCCATGGTGTAGTTCCGCGATGGCGTCGAGGCCAGAACTTCAGATGGCTTCCAGAACAGTGGCGATGGCAGCAGCCATGCTGTCGATGGATGCGAGATCTGTTCGGCACGCAGTATTTTGGCGCTCAGAGCAAACGAGTCCAAGTCGTCGCCCATAGCAAACACCTTTACTGCCTTCATGCTGCCCGCCCAGGCGCCAGCCAAACTAATTTGACGACGAACGTATTGAGCCTTCCACTCGGCTGTTTGTTCCTGTAAGAAGACGAGGGTCATGGGGCTGCCCATGCTGTGCGTTATGAATGTAACGGCAGTTTGATTATTAGCTTCATAGGTGTCTTCCACCAGCTGCTTCAAATCGATAAAGAATTGTTTATTCTCATCTGCAAACGAGAAAGAATTAATTTATTATAAGATTAACTATTTGGTAGACTTACTTGGCGCCCGTCGAAAGTCGTAGGGAGCTCCACGGATATTTAAACGGCGCACATAGCCCAGATCTGCCAATACATTAGCGATATCCTTAAAATAGGCTCCAGCCTTGTTTCTCGTGGGATCTATCCATTCCACTACTTCCGGATCACCCCAGCCAGGTATACGCGTCTCCACACCTGGCGTATTGTGCGTTGTCCTTGTTACCTTATCATAGTAGAGCTTTACATTATCTATCCAACAGTAGACCATTGGTATGACCAATTGTTCCAGATCCAGCCACAGATTATACCAATCATGTGTCTTTTCGCATATGAAGTAGGGTGAGTCCGGTTTGTTCAAGCGTGCTTCAACCTGAGAGCCACCGTCGCCAGGTACTGAAAAAATTCCAATTGTGACCTTGAAATTCGTTCATCTACATATTCAAATCAATACCAACCAAATATAACGGGACTAAGTCTTTTTTCCTTTGGGGGCTCTGGTTTTGGTGGTGCCTTGCCTTTTTTATGAAAAGGCCAAAAACAATTTCCAGCACTGAACAATGCCACAAAGAGCAGCACTGCGAATATTATGCTGCAGAGTCTCATGATGATATGCGTGTGCCGTTGTGATTTACAATAACGGTATGAGCGATCCGCTATAATTGGCGAGCCTCTGATTTAATTCTTTACACTCCAGCGGTCAGTGGATAGATAATGACATTACTGCTATTAAATCAACAGTCGTAAACAAATGAATCAGCGCTTCAATTGCATGTTTACATATAAGTATATATAAGCATTTATGAATATATAGATATATATGTATGTATGTATATCCGACAGCCAAAATTCAATTGACCTTTTATCCAGTAAATGTAACTGCAATCATGGGCGGCTCTTTTCCGCATCTCAATATGGCATGATATTGATAGCCCCACTCTGTTGTTGTTTTTTGTTTGTTATTTTTTGTGCGCTTTCATAAACAAAGGAATCCAATGTTGTTGTTGTTTCCGTGGCGTTATCTTTGATATTGAATACTTTTTGTTATTGTTACTCGCATCTGCGCATCTGATTTGCCAGTGTTATGGAGTTCTGCAGGCATATGAGAATTTTAGTATTTTTTACTCCCATTTATATGGTCACATTGTGTTCTCTGGTCAGTGATTTTAAGCAACAAATTAGACTTAAGTAACAGTACCCATAAATTAGTTTTGGATCAAAAACAAAAATAAATAAATTAAAAAGAAAATGGAAGTTTTCGCTGCGTGCTATTGTTTTAATACTCACAGCTTGCAAGTAGCCGATGTATCGATAGTAGTATTAATCGACACGACCGGCAAATGCACTTGTTAAGCGCGTTCAAAAGCAAATTTAGTTTGTTTAATTAAAAATAGTCGCAACTGCAGCCTGGAAAGCACATAAATCACAATGCAGGAGTTTTTCAGAGTGCTGATGCCGGACGTAAAGAAGGAGCTGCGCCGCGGCATCATCGAGTGCTCAAAACGCGGCCTGCTGCACAGCACAAAATGGCTAGCAGAGATGCACCACGGCTTGAGTGATGTGAACATCGACAATGCGGCACCGGATGATGATCATTCGTTTAGCGAGTGCCAACTGGAGGGCATTACGCCAGCTGAGTATAGCGACTATTTTCTAGCCAAGAGCTACTACGATGTGCGTGAATATGATCGGGCAGCGCACGCAGTCCGGAACTGCGAATCCAGCGTGCCACGATTTCTTCACCTATACTCTACGTACATGGCACGCGAGAAGCGACGTCTCGACTCCACCACCGATCAAGCGAATCTCAACGAGCCAAATCAAATGCGCGACTTGGCAGACCTCTTGGCCACATTACGCGCGGAGCATGGACGCGGTCGCTTAGATGGTTATGGAATATATCTATATGGCGTTGTACTCAAAGCTTTAAATCTTAATAAGGCAGCTGAGCAAATGCTTGTAACCGCCGTGCGTATGGTGCCAATGCTGTGGAGCGCCTACCTGGAGCTATCACCCCTCATTATGGAAAAAAAGAAGCTACTGAGCATGCCACTGGGCGGACATTGGATGCGTCATTTCTTCATGGCACACACGTACTTGGAGCTGTATTTGAATGATGATGGTCTGAAGATCTATGAGGATCTGCAGGCTGCCGGCTTTAGCAAGAGCATCTATATAACCGCACAAATGGCACACGTCTATCACAACAAGAGGGGTTCGTAGCTGAGAACTAGCTCGAGAAAGTTTTTAATCTATATGTATAAATTTTAGATGTGGATAAGGCTATTGAGCTGTTCCAGGCGCTGTTTGAGAGCGATCCCTATCGCTTGGACAACGTTGATACATACTCAAATTTGTTGTTTGTCAAGGAAATGAAAACGGAAATGGCCCAACTGGCGCACAAAGCTGTTAGCATTAACAAATACCGGCCCGAGACTTGTTGTGTTATAGGCAAGCAGTGACCGGCGTAACTAAGTAAATTAATATTCTAATCGACTATATACTCCCATATAGGCAATTACTACAGTATACGCTGTGATCACCATGTGGCCATTTCATATTTCCAGCGCGCCTTAAAACTGAATCCGAAGTATTTAGCAGCCTGGACGCTGATGGGTCATGAATTTATGGAGCTGAAGAACACAAATGCAGCCATACAAAGCTATCGCAAAGCTGTGGAGGTCAACAAGCGTGATTACCGTGCTTGGTATGGCTTGGGTCAGGCCTACGAGATCATTAAGATGCATTATTATAGTTTGTATTATTTTAAAATTGCCCATCAATTGCGTCCGTATGACTCACGCATGCTTGTTGCATTGGGCGAAACATACGAGAAGCTGGACAAGTGTGAAAACTCGGTAAAATGCTATTGGAAGGCCTGCGATGTGGGCGACATCGAGGGTATAGCCATGTATAAGCTGGCCAGCCTGCACGAGAAGCTGGGCGACAACGAGACGGCCGTTCATTGTTATATTATGTACTGCGAAGACGAACGCGCTGCCACCGACAAACAGAGCCTCTATCAGGGCTTCATGACTCTGGCCAACTACTATGAGAAGAAGTGTGACTATGAGCGTGCTGCCTACTATGCTTACAAGTGTTTGGATTCCGATGATGTAAGTTAACTACCGTACCTTTCCTTCAGCTCCTTTAATAATTTGTTTATTGCAGCGCAAAACGGAAGCTAAGGCGCTCCTAAAAACAATCGATTATCGACGCAGCGCCGAGTGCCAGAAGAAAAAATCCACTGCAACGGTGGTGGCTACGGCAGAGACCAGCTCCGAGGATGAAATGGAATGGGAGCAGCTCGATGTACGTGCCCGCGTGCCATTTACCTCCATAGCCGATACGAGTAAAACAACGTCTACGGCAACGGCAACGGCAACCGCAACAGCAAGCTCCAGTGGCAGCTCAGCCACAGGTGCATCTACCTCAGCCGGCGCAAGAAGATTACGTGCGGTGCCGGAGCGTGTGCGTCGAACGCAGCCCAATCAGCGATCCCTGACGGGACCCACAGCAAATAGCACAGCGACAACACCAGCGGCGGCAACAACAACAATATCCACAATAAGTGAGGAGACGCCCGGAGGTAGTTCGGCAACAACAGCAACGGAAACGGAGACGCTGGAGGATTCAACGCCGGCGACAGCAACAGCTGAGCAGCAGGCGGCACAAGATAGCAGCGCAATGGAAATTTCTAGCGTGTCCATCGATTAGATAGGATATGTTTTAAATTAGAGAAATTCTACTGTGGATTTATAAATTGAAGTTTTTTAAGATGAAGAGTGAGTGAGGAATGAACCTATTAAAAGTGTGTTAAAATTTATACAGTTTTGTATTCAAATGTATATTATATTCAATTTGTAATGTTTATTATATATACATATTTATATATTATAGCTATTCGGAATAACAGTTGGAGTATACTTAAATCTTTATATCAACTACATATTTTTATGCTATTCTAAAAGATCATCAGAGACATAACTCCAAAACCCTTAAATTAATCCTGTTCCTCCATCTCACAGAACTCGTCGGATGCACACGTGCAGCGACACATTGAATGTGATCAACAGAACGAGTAGAAATAGTCCCAGTATCAGAACATCCGAATGAACCATATCTCCCGACATGTCGAAATCTTTGAGAAAGTGCTCGGATGATTTATAATAACAGAAATCCTCCTGGCAGGGCAAATCGCCGCGTTGGTAGCCGTAAATGGCACGCATGAGTCCCTCGAAGACGTAGCGGAAAAAGGAGAAATCACAAATGGGACGCAAGAACCAGGACAATTCGCGCATGCGTATAAAGAAGCCAGAGAAGAGCAGGAACGGTATGGACACGGTGGGTACAATGAATATAGCCAGTTGCATGGAGAGCAAGGTGCCGCCAATGACGCCAATGAAGTGACCAATGAACGCGGTCAGCACGCACATGCTCCAGCACATGGCGAGCCTGGCCAGGTCCGGCGGCTGTCCAGTCATAAAGTAACTAATTCCTATGAATAAACTCGGACACAGCAATTGCAGCGGCAAATCGGCCAATACCTTGGATATATAGTAGGCTCGGACAGAGTACCAGCCATTATAGTACTCCCTGATGAATACGGGCGCATCTTGCACGCAGAGCAGTATGGAGGGCATGGCATTGCCGGAGAATATAAAGAGTATGATGAAGAACATGCAGGAGACGTTGCTGATAACCTTGTTCGCATCGTTGCCGATCTGCCAGTAGACCACGCCCAAGAGCAGGCCAATGACAGTGTGCATGATTACACGCATCTGCACGGCAATCTGGAGAGGTTTGGGAGTAATATTATTATAATGATGTATAGAGAGATCTGTCTCATGCTACTTACTGTATCCCTGGACATGGCACGCAAATGTCTGTGCATAAGTATGCGCAGCTGGTACCAGAATCCCACCTGCTCCTTGGGCCGCAGCACCTGAGGCACGGACGAGCTCTCCGACAGGTCAAGAAAAGCTGCTGCAATGAAATTGAGGGAGACAAGAGAAAGGAACAGATAGAGCAGTGCAATAGATGAAGGAGAGTGGCATGCAAATAGGACCATGATACAGAAGCAACAGTTAAGCGGGTAGAGATGATTAGCAAGACGTCATCCAGTTAGAGCTCAAGCATAGCAAACTTACTCTGCTCATCCGCGGGAACGCTATCAAAGCTCTGTAGGCTATCATACTTGGATTTGTTTTGGGTGATCAAAGTCTCGCAACGCTGAGCGGAAGACTCGCTGCCCACCTCGAGCACTAAAGAGACATCCATTAGTAAATCTTTAGCAAGAGCTCCTTTCACCCACCAAAATCCGCTGGATTGTAATACTGTGGACAGCTGAAGCCAGCCGCCTGAAAGCTCTCCAGCATCTCATGTTGTGCGCCCGCAAACAGCACTTCACCATGGGCCAGTACTAGGATGTCATCGAAGAGCTGCATCAGCCGCGAGCTGGGCTGATGCACCACACAAACCACAATTCGCCCGTTGTGCGCCAACTTCTGCAAATAGCCCATCACTTGGTAGGTGGCCACGCTATCCAGTCCGCTGGTGGGCTCATCAAAGAACATAATCGGCGGATTCGTGACCAGCTCAATGCCAATGGACAGACGCTTGTGCTCCCCGCCAGAAATGTCCCGGACCAGCGTATGTCGACACGAATGCAAGTTGAGCACCTCAATAATGTCATCCAGCTGGGGAAATGGAATCCAATATTTACCGGGTACAGGGCATGCTATAGTTGTAAACACACTCTGTGGATCACCAACTTCCATTTACTTACAATAATTTGCTTCTGCAGCGTAGTTGTGCCCGTGGGCAGCTTGAGATCAGCGGAAACGCGCAACGTTTCCTGCACCGTGAGCAGCGAGAGCATCTCAAAGTTTTGCGCTATATACGAGGACATTTTGCGAAACGCTAGCAAATCTCTCGGCTGTCCATTGAGCAGAAACTGTCCGGATACACCGCTGACCCTGAACAAAATAAGATTACTTAGTTTACTTAATTTTCCATCCCAGCACACTCACTTAAATCCAGCCAAGACGTTCAGCAGTGTGGACTTCCCGGCACCGGAGGGACCCAGTATGGCCGTCAGACGACCCGCTCGAAACGCTCCACAGGTTTCATTTAGAATTAGATTCTTCGACTGATTTGAGCCCTTCAGCTTGTAGCTCACCTGCCTGAAGAGCAGCTCCAGTGGCTGCACTTTAGCCAAGCCATTTGGCACTGTGGCTCCAGCATTATCGACCATTCTCAGAGACTTTTGTTGTTGACCAATTTTGATATCAAAGCGTCTGGCCTGGCAGAAAAACAACGCTCGACTGTGGGCTAGTGGTGAATGCGGCTATCGTTTTGCACTCTCCATTGATTGTGGAGTTCAAGTGCCTGCATTTATTATCAGCATTGTAATCGAGCCCGCTGTTTAATCCGAATTCAGCAAAGGGAACAACGAAAATTCTTGCAATCTTATCTGATCGATTGAGACAGTTGTTGTTGTATGTATATTGGCGTTGTTTAAATGTTTAGCTGGACATTTGTTTTAAATTTTAATATAATAATAATATAATTTAAAAAATCGATTGAGTCAATGATTGATAGGACTTTAGATAAGTTTTGATAGATGGGCTGTTGTTAAGATAAAACACATTAAATACTGTTCGCCTGACTGATTATTTGACTGACATGTATGATGTATGTCATAATTGTATCTAAGGCTGGGCAACTCAACTTATCACCGTTGCTAAATTTAAATAATTAATTATAGCAAAATCCTTCTATAACACTATTCTTATTTTCATTATTAATCGACTTTGTTTGAAGCCAATTAATTCACAGTTTTTTTTATAAAATATGTTCTCTCTTAATTGTTCATGACTTGACTGTGGTCAGTCGAGGTTTGAAGCTAATCATGAGGTTGGTTTCATTTCACATGCAAGGCGATAAGCCAAGTGATAACAACTACAAATTGTTATGTGTTGCACTTAGCGCAGCTACATACATACATACGTATATCAAATTATAAACTATCTGATACTCTGTAACTATTAAAAATTCTGGTATGAAATGGGAGACCCATTTGATCACAGATTATGAGATAGTCTGGAGCTGAGAACCGTTTTGGGGCTATTAGAAATATCTGTCTGATGAGTAATGGGAGAGGTTTTTGAAATAATAGGATAAGTGAGAACAACTTTAGCATCTAATGAGATGCACTTATTTATATTAAAATATACGAAAAATAATGTCTCTAATTGTGTCTTTAAAGTTATGATACACATAAACCGTGTTTCAGACTATTAATTGCTATAAAATACAAAGTATAATTAAAGCTGGGTTCAGCCTTTTCAGAAACATATTCAACTGCGCCCAAAAGTATGAAACAAAATAATATTTGTTTTATTTACAGTCTCACTTTGCTATCTTTGAAATAAGAGTGCAATAATTAAGATTCAATGAATTTCGACTGACATCACAAAACAAAGTGAATTCCTCAAGAGCTTGAATTAAGCTAATGCAACTGCGTAAAATTATTTCTAGTAAATATATAACATAGTTGTAGATAATGTAATGTATAATGCAAATATGCAGCTGAAATGATTTTCCTTGACGGCGCTTATCAGGTTCCAGTTACTATATGCTTCAATTTACATATTGTTTGTGTATTATATATGTCTGTGTATCTGCAGCTGGAAAACACTTGCAATCACATTTTAAGGCCTTTCAATTGCAGAGAAAACTAGTTTTAGGCTTTTAACTAGTGCTAGATAATCATATGTTGACTCATAAAAGTTTGTAATTCCGCTAGATATAAATGAATATTTATATATAT